TCATCTTCCATTTCAATTTTTTGAATTTCAATCTTCTTATTTTGTGTTTGAAAAACATCCTCAATTTTTTCATCACATTTTGTTGCCAAATTCATCAAATAATCCAATTTTCTCTCATTTTTTTCCTCTGTCTCCAACACCCTCTGCAGAGCTAAGAGCACTTCTCGGAGAGACACCATGTTTCTACACAGTTGTATTTTTTCTTAGAAGCTCAGCAAGATTGAAACAATCACTCCCAAACTCTCTGCAAGCAAAAAAAAAATTCAAAGGGACAGCTGTAAAGTCTTATCAGATCTTAAGCCAAACACCCACGCAATAAAAGCTTGGAATGTCAAAGTCAAAACAATCCATTTGTAGTTTACAGAGAGTCACAAGAAGTGTTAAAAGGATAATCCATCTGTTTGAAAAGGTTTTGCTTAGAATCAATCCATGTAAATAGCATTTAAAAAGTAAGATAACCACTGTCCAGAACCATTACAAAAATCAAATTCGCCGCTAAATTCTTCTATTCTTTGATTTAAATTAGTTTTTAGATTTTATAGTTCAGTCCGTTTTTTTTTAAACAATAAAAGTTTCTCACCAGTTAGAAACACTTTCACATTCCACATCGTTCCGTTCCTTTCTGAGGCCGCCCTGACTTTGTCAGTCTTGACAGACTGGAATTTTTATTACCAGCAGAAGATTTTCCCTTGCCTTTCTCGGAGTTTTTGCTATATCCCCGAGATCAGCAAGATGTAATCTTCCTGTTCACCATCTCTTTGGGATGATTTAGGTCTGTTGGATCCCCCCAGCAATAAAAGTATCGACTGCGATCTCAGAGCTTTGAGATCACACGTCGTCTCATCACGGCATCGGCCCCTCCCTCCCAGCCTGCCTGTCTTAAAGCTGTCGCAGGGACAGCAATGTTGACGCAGGAAGCTAACAAATTGACCATTGGCTAGGAATTAGATATTTATACTCCACATGCCCTCAAAGCCATTTTAGAAACAAAGGGACATTTATGGCTGACCAACCCATGAATGCTAAAGTACCAGGGCTTGATAACACATAACCCAATGATTAAATTGATGCAATCAAACATGTTGAATCCAGCCAGCTTGTTGCTTGAACCAGACTTGGAAACCACGCATAATTGCATCCAGACTATTGAAGAAACATATGCCAGCCGCCCGGACATGACTGATATTCCTATTTCTAACCTGGACTTTACAATTTACACTGATGGTACTAGTTTTGTGCAAAATGGGACTCAGAAAGCAGGATATGTGGTAGTAACTCTGGAAGATATATGGGAAACGGAACCTCTCCCCTCAGGCACAAGTGCTCAGCTGGCTGAATTGCATGCACTGACTAGAGCTCTTGAACTCACTAAAGGAAAGCGGGTCAACATATATACAGACTCTAAATATGCCTTCCTGATGGTACAGGTCCATGGAGCATTGTACAAGGAAAGAGGCCTTATAACGGTGGGAGGAAAAGCCATTAAGCATGGGTCCCAGATATTGCATTTACTGGACAGCGTATGGGCACCAAGACATGTAGCCATAATGCACTGTAGGGGACATCAAAGGGGATTGTCAGACATCCAGCAAGGAAATAACAAGGCAGACCGGAAAGCTCGACTGGCAGCGCAAAGGACACTGACTATCCAAGCAAACTGCCTAACTGTGTGGGTTCCAGAAGAACATGTTAAACCAAACTACTCCCAGGATGATTTGAAGCAGGCAGAGGCACTTGAGGCAAGACAGGAAGAAGGATGGTGGATCCTGCCAGACCAACGGGTTTTCATTCCAGGACATCTGGCATGGGCAGCGGTACAACAAGTCCATAAGCAACTGCACCTGGTAAAGACTGCTTTGGCAAATGTCTTACAGCGGGAAGTCTATATTAATAAAATACACAGCATTGCAGCAAATGTCTGTGTAAGGTGTGAAATTTGTGCCGCCAAAAATCCAAGGCAAGGACCCCTACCACCCCAAGGGCATCAACAAAGAGGAAATTACCCATTTGACTCCTTTATGATTGATTTCACTGACATGCCACGATCAGGTCCATATAGGGCAATGTTAGTTATAATATGCACCTATACTGGATGGCTCGAGTGCATACCAACAAGGACCAACAAAGGGCAGGGTGGAGAGAGCTAATAGAACTGATGCAGGAGGGGGTACACAGGT